GATTATTTGTTTCTTAACTCTTCTTTGAGTATTTATTTATTTGTTGAGACAGAGTCTCACTATGTCTCCCTCAGTAGAGTACTGTGATGTCATAGTTCACAGCAACCTCAGACTCTTGGGTTTAAGTAATTCTCTTGATTCAGACTCCCAAGTAGCTGGGACTACAGTGCCTGCCACAACACCTGGCTGGTTTTTTGTTGCAATTGTTTAGCTGGCCCACACCGGGTTCCAACCCACCACCTTCGGTGTATGTGGCGGGTGCCATAACCAAAGTGCTACAGGCACCAAGCCTTTCTCCGAGTTTTTAAAAAAATGGCTCAGCACACATAGCTCAGTGGTTAGGGCACTGGCCACATGCACTGGGGCTGGTGGGTTCAAACCCCACCCAAGCCTGCTAAACAATGACAACTGTGACAAAAAATAGCCCGGTGTTGTGGCAAGTGCCTATAGTCCCAGCTACTCAGGAGGGAAGAGAATCGCTTAAGCCCAAGAATTTGAGGTTGCTGTGAGCTGTGACGTCACAGCACTCTACTGAGGGCAACACAGCGAAACTCTGTCTCAAAACGAAAAAACAAAATCAGAATAAAATTGGAAAAAAAAAAAAGACTTGTTTTATAGGGCCCACTCAGGTTCCATGATTTCAATAAAACCTTCCCTGAAGTATTTTCTCTTCCCTGAACTCTCACGTTGTCTTCTGTCTATATTGCTCACTTAGCTCTCTGCATCAATCAATCAATAAATTAAAAAATTAGTACACTGAGATCTGAAGAGAACTGTACTGGATGCCGTGGAGAGACAATTATCAGTTAAATGTTCATGTATCGTCACTTCCTTGATTAAGCTGTGTATCAAAGCCAAACCTTTCTCAAACCCTCCCCGGTAGGCAGCACTGCTGACTGATACAAACAGAATTCCTTTACCCCCCAATACTGAAGAGAATATAAACAAAAACTGAAACAGATTGATACAAATCCTTTTAATAAAGTATATCACTGACAACTCCATGTTTAAATAAATATATTGTTAAAAAATCATGCAAGGAAATCAAATAACTTCTGAGATTACTGTTCCCTCTGCAGAAATGCAGTGCACGGATGCAAAATGATCAAAGGCCGAAACAATAATAAATCTCAAGTAAGTGGCGTAGCCATCGTTTACCTGTAGGGGAAAAATCAATATGGACGCATTTAGCAATCCTAGTTGACTGTTAACAGGCAGTCAGCAGAAGAAACGGTTTGATCCAAGAGTAATATTCTAAATATATAACAATTTATAAGATACACTATTCAGAAGAGAGGTCAGCCACATATCACAGTTGTTCTGGTGCAGTTTTATTAGCTAAGTATCAGCCTTGGTTTGATGAAAAATAGCAACTAGAGCTAAAAATTGCAACTGCACATTTATCAGTATTTTCAAAGTGTCTTTCTAAAGTATTTTTCATGATAAGAGGTTTTCTTTGATTAATGTTGCCTTACAACATAATATCCTGGGCTTGGGGCCTATGACTCAGTGGCTAGTGTGCCAGCCACATACACAGGAGCTGGTGGGTTCGAATCCAACCCGGGCCTGCCAAACAACATGACAACTATAACCACAAAAATAGCTGGGCATTGGGGCGGGCGCCTGTCGTCCCAGCTACTTGGGAGGATGAGGCAACAGAATTGCTTAATTAGCCCAAGAGTTGGAGGTTGCTAAGAGCAGTGAGCTGTGACACCATGGGACTCTACTGAGGGTGACAAAGTGAGATCTGTCTCAGGGAAAAAAAAAAAAAGAAATATACACATACTATCCTGAAACATGACTATGGTTTTACATGTATATACTATCCACTTCTATTCCCAGAACTTTATTCCTAGAGAATAATCAGAAAGGTGATGGTCATGATGGCAGGAACATACATAAGATGTTCCCCTGTGTATTACAATGACAGAGGAGTTAAATATAAGCCAACAGGTAGGTGTTATTTTTAAATTAAAACTATGAAGCTTGTATATAACATTCATTTAAAAAAGATGACACAAAACTGTCCACACATTATTATTGTATACGATGCATATGATCAACAATTAGAAGAAAATCAGTTTATAAAAGCTATTGTGACAGGGTAAAAAAAAAACTATGAGTGATTTCCAGCCTCCCATTCCCTCTTCCTATTTTACAGATTTTCTCTAATGCTACAACCCTCCCTGACCTGCAGTGAGTTTTGAAACAAAACCCCAAAGCAAGCAGAGGCTTACTATTCATAACCTACTTGATGAAGATGCAAAAAACAGGAAGATAAAATTAAGTATATTTAATCTTTTTCTTTTTTCCTGAGATAAGAGTCTCATTTTGTCGCCCTCAGTAGGATGCCGTGGCTCACAGCAAACTCAAACTCTTGGGCTCAAACCATCCTCTTGCCTCAGATTCCCAAGTAGCTTGGGACTACAGGCACCTGCCACAAGGCCCAGCTATTTTTAGAGTCAGGGTTCTCAGGGTCTCGCTGTGGCTCAGGCTGGTCACGAACTCCTGAGCTCAAGCAATCCACCCCCGTTGGCCTCCCAGAGTGCTAGGATCACAGGCATGAACCACCTTGCCCGGCCCAGTATACTTAATCATGTGGGGGGACCTCACTGGCCTCCCCAGTTATTGGGCAAATTTTTGGTAGGAGAGAAAGGAATTCACAGGATTCAAAAACTTGCTAGAGAATCTTTGGCAAACTTCTGGCAAATTGTGAAGAAAAGACTTAGTGGAGAAGGTACCACTTTAACCCCCACTTAGAGAAACCTTAATTAAGCAAACACTATCACCTAAAAAAAAAAAAAATACACATTCAGTTGTTTTCCTTTGTTTCTGTCTAAACCCAGGGCCTGACAAAGCAGCAGGCCAGAGGAGCTCCTGATGAGGCAGCAGCGTCCTGTCAACCGGCTTTCATTCCACTTGACGAGCAAAGCCCATGGAATGTTGTCGAAAAACACGGCTTCTCTTCCCGCCCCACCTCTCTCTGGCTTATTTGCTGCTGCTCCTATGCTCTAGTTCCCCTATCCCAATCTCTCTTGTCTTTTCATGCTTAAATCAACATCCAATTTTGGCATTTCAACCTTTTTTGTTTCCTATTTTAAAAGGCCTACACAATTGAAGACAAGAAAACAAAGGAATGCCAATAACTACTTCAGAATAAATGAATGAGAAAAGAAAAAACAAAAAATGAGTTGCTTTATCCTTGCTGTCTTTCTATGATGGACAAAAGAGTGATTTCTAAATGCTACAACTTAGCGTATAATATTACCAAGAATAATCGTCTTTGTTGGTTGATTGGGTACAAAATCCATAATATCCCGAGGACATTTATTAACTGTGTGACTACAGAGATAGGTCTAAAATCTAAATACACTGTATTGGTTAAAGGTAATTTTTATTTCTACAAGGTATGTTGACTTACCAAAATTTCTTCAGTTTGAAGCTGCCCCTCTGTGTGTACAAAGTCTAAAAAACAAATTCAAC